TTTCCATTATTTGATTTTCCTTTCCTGTCCTGTCCTGTCCATTCCTGTCCTGTCCTGTCCTTTCCTTTCCTCCCCTCCCCTCCCCTCCCCTCCCCTGTGCCACTACTCCTGGCTAAATTTTGTATTTTTAGTAGAGACAGGGTTTTGGCGTGTCGGCCAGTCTGGTCTCAAACTGCTGACCTCAAATAATCTACCCGCTTCAGCTTCCCAAAATGCTGGGATTACAAGTGTGAGCCACTGCGCCCTCTTTTGAAATTTTTTTGGCCTATGAAAATCGGAGATCCAGGAACCACTGTTTAAAAAATTCTGGCTTATTCATCTTATTATTTATAGATTTCTCACTATAGATCAGTTTATTTCTTAGTTTGATTTGAGCATATTTCACAGAATGATTAATAATGAAATACTGGGTGCCAACAGCCTTACTTATATTTGGCTTTTTATGTGTTGCTTCTTGTTACCTTATACCCAACCATGTGGGATTGAGTTTATTGTGCTAATAGGCAGGTATTACCTATAAAAGAATGGAAAAAGGTTGTGGCAGTTGGTCATTCTTTAACTTACATTTGTAGAACAGTTAGAGCAATACTGGGAGGCTCCCTTGTGGAGAAATGTTTCTCTTACCAGCTTGTCCTGGTATCTAAAATAGATATTTTCTTTATCTAGACCTTTGTTTTATCTCTAGAGGAAACTTTGTATACATATGGATTTGCAAATTTCATGACAACTATTGATCTAGATGGGTTGCTGGAGTATAGCCTCTAGGCCAGCAACATTGCTCAGCTGAGAAGCATGTCAGAAATGCAGAATCTCAGTCCTACTCTATAACTGTAGGATCAGAATCAGCATTTCAACAAGATTCTCAGGTGGTTCATACTCATAAGTTTGAAAAGAGTTTGTAGAACACATGACTTTTGTCAAGAGTAAGGAGGAGGAGCAGGTTAAACAGCGATAGAGAAGTATAGGAAACCAATTTGGCTTAGTTGATTAACTTATTTTAGAATGGTTCTGCTGATAGTTGCAAGAGTATTCTTGAAAAGCAGGTGTGTGTGTGTGTGTGTGTGTGTGTGTGTTTGTGCGCGCGCGCGCATTTAGTGTCTGGTTTTGTCACCATGCAAATAAACTTACTTGGAAAATATTCTTTGAGTCAAGTGGCATTCAAATAGAAGTGTTACTGAATTTCCTACAGCTCATTGTTTATTATTTATTTCTTGAGGAAATACCTCAGCTTAATTCTTTGGGAACCTACTTTTACTGTTTTATCCAAAAAAGTAAATGCCCATTTATCCCTCTTAAGGGCAGGATCACACAAACATTAAGTAGTTTTGCTAGGATTTAGCAATGCTTTTTCTTTTTCCATTTATCCTTGTTTCTTCAAATCCAGTGGTATTTGAAAACCAAAGCACATATTTCTACATCCTTCATGTATGAAGGATACCGTATTGCCAAGTATTGGCTAGTCTCTGTGAAAGAACTCAGATTCGCCTTTTTACTTGACACTTTATAGGTAATTAAGCAATCATATGTAATAAATAGGTCTGCTTAATTATCTTATTCAAAGATAAATGAGGTTGGTGGCAGTGGGGTGGATGAATTCAGGTGTATTTTCTTTGCTTTTATCTGTTTTTCACATTGGTTTTGTAAACTTCCTGTGTTGTGGACGTTTTTTGTATTTTTGGTAGAGATGGGGTGTCACCATGTTGGCCAGGGTAGTCTTGAATTCCTGAGCTCAGGCGATCCGCCTGTGTCGGCCTCCCAAAGTGCTGGGATCACAGGCATGAGCCACCGCACCAGGCCCAGTATTGTTATCTTATTGGACCACTATGGAATATGCGGTTCATTGTTGACCGAAACGTTATTACGTGACTTGTGACTTGTTTTTCCTTAAGTTAATAATGAAATTACTTTGTATAAGTTTTTTGGTAACTGTTCTTAAATTCCGATTTTAAGATGAACTCCATCGTTTAATCACTGAGTCAGACTTTTTTTTGTACTTTGGCAATTTACAGATTTACTTGACTTGTTTATGTGTAGCATTCTAAATATATACAGAAGGACTTCCAAAATCAGTAGATGCTTAATTTCAGTGCATGTTATTGAAATACAAATTTTTAAAAAAGGAATAAATACCATTTCATACCCAGATTGACAAAAATGAAAAATCCTGACAGTATCAAATATTGGCAAGGATGTAGAGGAATGGGAACCTTTAACTATTGCTTGTGTTAGCAATGATGAAATACAATTAAAACTAAAATCAGCTTGCCCCAGAAAACATCTCTTCAAAGGTAGAAGAAAAAGGAAACAATTTCAGTTTTGAATAAGTATTAAACCAGAATGACATGTGTATCACAAACAATCTGATAAAAGATTGCAAAGACCAAAAGAATGCTCACCCTTACATATAGCGAAGTAGATGCAACCCATTACATAAATGTTCTCAAGATAAATAGTAAATAGTGTTCAAGTAACAGGACATGATACCATCATTTGTCACACATAGTTTATCCTAAATTCACTTGGTAGTTGGAGCAAACTTGTGTGTGAATGAATTGGCTTTTTCTAAAGGAAAAATGAACTCATATCTTTATGACAGGATGTAATTTTACAACTTGGAACTAGATGGCCTGCCAAAGTTAGGCACCCTGTCCTCCCACAGAAACTGGGAGATAAGGGTGCCATCTCTCTTGATGATCTCATTTGAAAGAGATGGCTATAAGGTTCTTGAGAAAGGCAGTTTTGGGCTGCTGGCTAGCTTTTACAAAGATTTACATACATCTCTAAGCAGGCAGAGAAAGAATTTACCAGGTTTTGAAAGAAAATCCTCTAAGTAAAAGGGATGGGGGAGTACAGGTAGATTTAGGCCTCCTATTTTAAATTTTCATTTGCCTGTATACTGATGGATAAGTTGATCCAGCTACCTTAGTGGGCAACTTAGCAATGTTGTAGTCGGATTGAAGAAGAGTACACCCTCTGATTTAGCACTTTTACTTTTAGAGAAACTATTAACACGTGTTCATAGGATACTTGTAGCAGTATGTATTAATAGTGAAATATTGCCAACAACCAAAATATTTGTAAGTAGGAAAGTGAATAAATTTTGCTATACTCATATAGTGTAATACTATACAGCTTTGCAAATGAATGATTTAGGGCGGCATCTGTCAACTTAAGTAATTTTCAAAAACAATGTTGAATTACTAAAGCAAGTTGCAGAAGAAGGATATGTACAATATATTGATACAACATTTGAAAACATGTAGAACAATACCATGTATTGTTTATTGATACATATACAGTGAAAGTAGAATAGAATGATAAACATCAAAATCAGGAAGTGGTTACCTCTAAGGAGGGAGGTGTACAAAGGGATCAGCAAGAGATCCATTTATTTCTTAACCAAGGAAAATCTTAAGTAAATAAGGTAGAATGTTAAGATTTAATTTATTTAGGCAGTGGGTATGTGTGTGTTTGTCATATTATTACCTAGATTCTTTTGTAATGTTTAAATATTTAATGATTAAAAGTTTTAAAAGAAAGAATGGATGGCAAGCGGTGGAAGGAAGTGAGGACATCTCTTCAAGAAAATTTGTTGTAAAGGGAACCAACAAAATGGAGAGGTAGTTGAAGGGAAATCAGTGTTAGTATGACACATTTGCATGCTAATAATAATAAAGTAAAAAGGGAAGAATTGGTATAGGAGACCTATAATAGTTATGGGAGCAGAATCCTTGAGAAAGAAAAAAATAATGGGGTCCAGTACAGAAATACTGTTTAACTCTTGATAGGAACAAAGACAATTTGTTGGAATAGGAGGGAAAGCAGAATAAGTGGTGGGAAGATGAAGTAGTTATCTTGTGAATTTAGGGTGGCCAACATCCAGGTTTGCTTGTGATTTAGCAGTTTCTCAGAATGCAGGACTTCCAGTGCTAAAACTGGGAAAGTCTTGGGCCAACTTCTGATTGTTTTTCCTTGACAAAATGAAAAGCATCAGTTATCTTCTGGAAGTGATAAGTGGATGAAGGAAGTATTGAGGCTTAAGGTGAAGAGAGACGCTATGAGTTAATTCTCTAAAAGATAGGAGAGCAGATTCACTACGTTAATGTGATAGGATTTCTGAGCATTTCGGGGGTCTGCTGAAATTTATGGTTATTATTTTAAAGTTTATATGGTTGTATTTCTCTTCAGTCTCGTTCAGCTATTTGGGTAAAAGTACTGAGTTAAGTGGAAAGTTGGTTTTAAACTATGTTTTGACTGTGATGGAGGGAAAGAGGAGCAGAAGAATGAGGCCACAGGGAAGGAAATGATTGTGTTGATGGATTTTTGAGTCTCAGGCTAGGTAAGAAGTAAAGAGAGACGAAGGAGAGTGGAAAAATTTGTAGGGTCTGTTGGAGTTAACAGGTTTCTGGTAGTGAATTGGAAAGATCTGTATAGTATATTGAATAAAGAAGCTGAGATGCTTGAAATTGAGATTTTTAAGGTAGGGTAGTTACTGGTTATCGATTTCATTGTAAGAATAGGAGACTGGAGTGGGATGGAAGAAAAGATCAATAGTAAATACACATATCTCAAAAAGATCATCTTCTGTGGATGTCATTTCAGTGATTAATCTGTAGAGCAGATTTTGGTGCTCTATAACATATTCAATTATTTCCTTTTCAAGTACTGAGAGTCTTCTGCTTCCTGTTTTATTTTGTTTAAATATTGCCTCAACTTGTAAATCATGTTGTATTGCTCTGAAATGAAGACAGCTGTAAATAAGTAAATCGATAAAAGCAAATTTTGTTTAGTCAGAATTTGGCCTTTTCGTATGGCTTGTTAGAGACTGTGCAGTTGGTAAATTCAAACATTAACGACCCCACTAACATAATAGCTTAATGTTCCTATTGCTCATTAAGCTAGTATAGTCCCACGTAAATTCAGTGAGGGCTTTATGCCATGTATGGTTATCTGTAGTACATTGCTTTGCTGACTCTAATTTTGTCTTTGTCTTTTTATAGGACCGCAGCTGAATGCACAGCTAGAAGGTTGGCTTTCTCAAGTACAGTCTACAAAAAGACCTGCTAGAGCCATTATTGCACCGTAAGTCTTTGGTTTTTGTTTTTGTTTTGTTTTGTTTTGTTTTGTTTTTTGAGAAGGAGTCTCCCTCTGTCGCCCAGGCTGAAGTACAGTGGCACGATCTTGGCTCACTGCAACCTCCGTCTCCAGGGTTCAAGCGACTCTCCTGCCTCAGCCTCCTGAGCAGCTGGGACTACAGGCCTGTGCCACCACACTTGGCCAATTTTTGTATCTTTAGTAGAGACGGGGTTTTACCATGTTGGCCAGGCTGGTCTTAAACTGCTGACCTCAAATGATCCACCCGCCTCATTCTCTCTCACGCCTGGCCTGCACTGTAAGTTTTAAGAGTCTGCTTAAAATCTTTTTTGTATGTTTTAGTAAATGAGTATCTACAGATTGAACTAAAAATTAAAAACTAAAGTCTATATTGAGCTGAAGAAATTGTATTCAGTAATTTTCACAGTTCTTGTGGGTTTTCACTGCAACTTAAGGATAAAAGAATTGGCTACTTTGGCTGGGTGTGGTGGCTCACGCCTGTAATTCCAGCACTTTGGGAGGCCAAAGTGGGAGGATTGCTTGAGGCCAGGAGTTTGAGACCAGCCTGGGCAACATGGTGAGACTCCATCTCTACTAAAAATACAAAAATTAGCTGGGTGTGATAGTATGCTTATAGTCCCAGCTAAGCTACGGGAGGTGGTGGTGGCGGGGTTCTGAGGTGGGGGGATCGCTTAATCCTGGGAGGCAGAGGTTGTGGTGAGCCAGATCATGCCATTGCACTCCAGCCTGGGTGACAGAGTGAGACACTATCTCAAAAAAAGAAAAAAAAAAAAAAAAAAAAATTGGCTACTTTAGTTCCTCAGATACAGTAATTTCAAAATGTATTTTTGATAATAAAACTGACTTTTAAAGAAAAGGGTGTTTTGCATTAGGTAAACTTGCCAATTTCGGTAGTCATTGCTGTAAATGAATAAGTTCTGTTTTAAATATTAAAGAGATCTAATTTAATCCTGATGATTTTAAATTTATAATGAAAAAGATATATTAAACATAGTATGGTGCAACATGGAATAGCAACTTAATTTTTGAGGAGGGGTAGATTGTATCTTTTTTTAATTGAGAAAATCTGATTATTTTGTCTTTCGATTTTAGAGTTTGCTTTTTAGAACTGCAAGCTAGCACATACACAGTTAATGATGTGTGTCTATGTATGATTCATAATGATGTGTGTCTGTGTATGAATTCAGCTAATTTTGATTTGGTTTCCAGAGCTAACCTTCACAACATATTGTTTGAAACACATGGTAACATTTTTTCTGAGAAGAGTGAAGGTTTACTCTGTGCCATTTATCTCATAGCATGTTGTTTGTGACTTCTATTGGGTTAAGGTTCGTGCCCTGATAAATAGTAAATAGTGATGACAATATGTAATAGCCATTTTTAATCAATATCAGAATTAAATGAGTAAATAGTAAATACACATAAATAGCCTACTATTAATGGTAGCATTTTATATACCAAATGTTTTGTTAAATGCCTTATTTGTATATCTAATTTGATCTCATTTAATGGGTGCAGGAGCCTGACTCCTATTTCCAAGCTATGTGACATGCAACTTTTTTATCCGTTGGGACTTCGGCTCCTCACTGGTAAAGGTGGAATAATAATAGTATTTCCTTAACGCTTTTAACACCAGATTAAATGAACTAATCTTTATAAAACTTATAGCAAATGACTTACTACTATTTATTTAGTCATTTACATACCAGGCTAAAGGCCAAGTGCTCTTCTTTGTGCTGCTTTTTGAGTAAATCAAAATTGCTACTCTTGTGGTACTAGCATTTTGGTACTAGGGAAGACAGGCAGCAAACAAATATATTCTGTGTCAGGTGCTGATGGGTGCTAAGAAGAAAAATAAAGCAGATAGAGGATTGAGAGTGACAGTATGGGTAGGGAGTTACTGTTTTATATAGGATTAGTAAGAAAAGGACTCCCTGGTAAGGCAACATTTCAGTCTGAATGATGTGAGAGAGCAAGCTGTGCAGATACCTGGGGGAAGAGGGTTTCAGGTTGAAGAACAGTGAGCACAAAGGCTCTAGGGCAAGAGTATGTTTAGTGTGTTTGAGGAGAAGCAAGGAGGCCTGTGCAGCTGGAGTGGCAGTACAAGGGGAAGAGTGGTAGATGAGATAGGCAGCAGAGGGCTAGATCATGAAGAGGCTTTGTGGTCATAAAGACTTTGGTTTTTGTTCTAGTGATATGGCAAGTCATGACAAGTTTTGAGCAGTAGAATGACATGATCTGACTTAGGTTTGAAAAGGATTACTCTTGCTGCTGTATGGATATTATAGTGTGTGGGAACAGGGAGTCCAGTTTATTTTACAATTACAGTTACAGAAAAGAGATGACACAGTGGCTTGGACTGCGGAATTGAGGCAGAGATGATGAGAAGTAGTGTATTCTGGATATGTTTTAAAGGTTGGACCAACAAGATAGAAGAAGAGTCAAGAATGACACTTGGTTAGGGGCAGTGGCTCACACCTGTAATCCCAACACTTTGGGAGGCCTAAGCAGGAGGATTGCTTGAGGCCAGGAGTTTGAGATCAGCCTGCGCAACAAAGCAAGACTCCATCTCTATAAAAATTAGCTGGATGTGGTGGGATGCAACTGTAGTCCTAGCCATTTGGTAGATTGAGGCAGGAGGATCCCTTGAGCCCAGGAGTTTGAGGCTACAGTGAGGTATGGTCTGTTTGTACCACTGTACTCCCGCTTTGGCGACAGTGAGATACCCTGTGTTTAAATATATTTTTAAAGACATGGTTTAAAATATCATGACTGAATGATTCTTAAATTTTGTCCCTGGAAGGATGGAATTACCTTTTTACTGATAAGAGGAAGACAAGTGGAAGTATGGAGTAGATTTTGAAGTGTTCATATAGAAGCTAGGTTTTTGGTTTTGATCTTGTTAATGTTGAAGTGCTTATTAGATGTCCAAATGGAGATTTAGAATGGGCAGCTGGCTATATGAATCTAGAGTACAAAGAAGAGGCACCAGATTTGAGATAGAAATAAGGGCTTTATTAGTATATATCATCATAGAGGGTATGGTTGCCTAGGGAATAAAATAAAGATAAACAGGAGAAGAGTTTCAAGGACTAGGCCCTTGGACAAGCCACCTTTTTAGGTGTGAGGGAGGAAAAAGTGATCAGCTGTATTAAATGCTGCCAGTGAGGACTGGGGATTGATAATTGGATTTGGCAATGTGGAAATTACTGGTGATCTTAAGAAGGATAGTTTCTTTTCTTGGGTGGTGGAAAATGAAAGTGTTACTGGAGTAGGTTCAGGAAAGAATGAGAGGTGAGGGCGATGAAGACGTAAGTATAGATAGTTTTTTGAGGAATTTTGCTGTAAAACAGAGAAATAGGATAGTATCTCTATGGTAAGGAGGATTTTTATTTCATTTGCGAGATTTTAAAGTGTTTGTATATGAAGTGATTCAGTAGGGGAAGAAAAATTGATGCAGGGATAAGAGGGGACATTTACCTAAGTGAGATCCTTAATTAGGTGAGAAACAATGAATTAATAATAATTTCTTTATAATAACTCACAAGAGACATTTTATTCTCATTTCATCAATTTGCTGGTATTTGACTATTATGGTATGCTACCTTTCCAGTTAAAACTTGTTCTAAATTTGGGAGCTGAGTTGAATCAACATATAATTAAGTTGAGGTTAGTCTTCATATAAAAGTTGCCAGACTTATTTCCTTCTTGTAATTAATTTTAAATTGGAATCATTGGGAGTGACCTGGGAAATGGAATGTTTTAGCCTAAATTACAAATATGTTGATTTCCAAGTTACCCCAGATTTTAAAATGGATATTTGAAAATAGTTTTGGCTTTGGTGTGTTTCTGTTACATACTGACTTTGTATACAATGTATAATAAATGTTATAATAAACATATAAACATATATAAATATAAACATATATAAATGTGCATTCATAGGCAATTTCTATTTTGTTAACATAGGAAGACTTTAAGTATAGCCAAGTTTTATCTTATATGGTTTCCAGAAGTAATTATTTTCCTTTCCAAGGTTACCTTTTTTTTTTTTTTTTTTTTTTTTGAGACGGAGTCTCACGCTGTTGCCCAGGCTGGAGTGGAGTGGCGCGATCTCGGCTCACTGCAAGCTCCGCCTCCCGGGTTCCCGCCATTCTCCTGCCTCAGCCGCCTGCGTAGCTGGGACTACAGGCGCCCGCCACCGCGCCCGGCTAATTTTTTGTATTTTTAGTAGAGACGGGGTTTCACTGTGGTCTCGATCTCCTGACCTTGTGATCCGCCCGCCTCGGCCTCCCAAAGTGCTGGGATTACAGGCTTGAGCCACCGCGCCCGGCCCCTTTTTTTTGAGGTAGAAAACAAATATTTCATTGTTACTGGGTGCAGTGGCTCATGTTTGTAATCCCAGCACTTTGGGAGCCCGAGGTGGGAAGATCGCTTGAGCTCAGGAGTTTGAGACTAGCCTAGGCAACATGGTGAAACCCCCTCTACAAAAAATACAAAAATTAGCTGGGTGTGGTGGCATGTGCCTGCAGCCCCAGCTACTCCAGATGCTGAGATGGGAGGATTGCTTGAGCCCATGAGATTGGGGCTGCACTGAGCTGAGATCGCACCACTGCACTCCAGCCTGGGTGATGGGAGTGAGACCCTGTCTCAAAAAAAAAAAAAAAAAAAAAAAAAAAAGAAATTATTGTTGTATGGCATGAAAGGGTCTTATGCTATATAGTAATTAGAAAAATCACATTAATCAAAAACTTACTTTAAGTTTTATAAATGTTAGCTCTCTAGTACTTGATTTTCTTAGTTTTTTTAACTTTATAGGCATAAATCATATCATGGAAACCTTAAATAAACTCAGAACCTGGATATAGTTGTAACTAATTAGGCTGTGTGAAAATGGCAAGTTTTTGAAAGTGCTTAAAAATATTGTTCATTTTTATATTGATATAGATTAAATAGAATAAATATCA